TATGTAACATTTTTTATAGTGTATGTTTCCTACAACCCTCTTGTTGATACCTTAGCCACCTAACTTTAAAACCACCCAGCATCCAATAAACTTTTAAAACCCTTTGGTACCAAAGGTTTTTCTTCTCCACAGCAATAACTTGCTATACAAATATCCTCCAACACAGGCTAAGTATCATTGTTCCACGTTAATTAAAGAACTAGTATTTATAGACTTCAAATCTCAATGGATAAGTTAAACTTTTTTCTATACAACCAATCAATGACGGATCTAGAAAATTTGTTAAGTGAAGGCAATATAATATTTTAAAATATTTTTTTTATTAAAAATATAATAATTTTTTAGAAAAAGTATATTTTTTGTGATAAAAAATTTAATATATCTATTTTCTTATAAGCTAAAATTTTCTCATAAATAAAGTGACAATTTCTCCTTTTTTTCTATCTAATTTTATATTTAAGTGTGACTTTTTAATTTTTAGTGACTTATTTAATATAAGAATAACAAAATGATATAAGTTATTAAGATAAATATAATATAATTATTATTGTTTTCTTTTATATCTCTTATAAATTTTTACGTTCATTTAAAACAAAAATATTTTATGAGAATAATGTCTATTTTTTATAAGGGTAAATTTATTTTTTATTAAATATATTTAAATAAAAAATAAAAACTTTATATGACAATTATTCTTCTTCCTCTTATTAATTTGGATCCTCTTCTACCAACACACAATGTACATATATAAGATCCAAAGGATTAAAAACTAAAATAAAAATTAAAAATAATTTATATTTGTAAACTAAATTATTACATCTTTAATGAATAAAGAAGTAATAAATCTTTCTGCCAAATAATAAAATATATTATAATAATAATAAAAATTAAGACAATTTTATCATAAAGTGAAAGAAATTGCACAATAGAATAAAATATAAAAGAAATATTAATATATTTTAACATATTAGATATAAAAAATAATCATTACAAGAAATATTACATATAATCACATACAAAAAGTGTCACTGTAATTTATATTTACACTTTTTAACAGTATATCAACATATTATATCTATAATATATGTAAAATTAATTTTTAGTGACAGGTATTATTTTTTATTGCACTGGTGGTGTGTTAATTTTTTGCATCTGGAACGGCCCGTTTCAGTTGCAAAATTAACACAACAAAAGTGCAACCAGAACGGCCCGTTCTGATTTCAGAACGGGCCGTTCAAGGTCCAGGTGTTTTAAAAACAAATTGTCATCCACGTGGCATCCATGTATGCATCTACGTGGCATCCACGTGGTCAAAAGTTAACTCCGTTTAAATAATTTGGACGAAAGTCCCACATTAAAATCAATTAATTAATTTGGGACTAAATTGAAACTAATTAATTAGTTTGGGACCAAATTGAAACCAAAAATAAAAATGGGACTAAATTGAAACAAATAATTAATATAAGGGACTAAAATAGGGTTGTAGCCTATAAAAATGAGAGAGTGAAATTTTAGTGGGGCCTGCCCCGACTCCCAGTTTCATGGATCCGTCCCTGCCACCAACCTATTATCTCCCCTTCGAGAAGCTCACCTCACCCGACTATAGTGGTCCTCTACTATATATATTATATAGTCAAGATCAAGAAAAACGGTTGATAACCTTTAGTGGGAAAAACTTTGAAATACTCATTGGAGAGAGCTGGAAAATTAGCAACAACGTGTAAGAAAAAGTTTTGTATCTATCACTTTCGACATATTTTAACTAGTATAGACTGCAAAAACTGAATTCGTTAATTGCACATGTTCACGTAGGAAAAGAGAAAAGACTTGTATCCTAACACATATTAGTACAGACTATGGTTTAGTTCATGTAAGGATAGGTCACTACAAGAAAATATTGAAATAGTTGCAGAAAATAAGCGTCGATTAATAGTTGATGTAAATATTATTAAAAAACCCAATATTATTTTAAGATGTAGTATCTATTTTTTTCTTATTGAATTTAGTGTCGAAAAAGTCGACACTATTTTTTAAATATAGCGTTAACTTTTCTGACACTAATTTAATTTAAGATTTAGGGTTTAATTTAAATTAGTATCGAAAAAGCTAACACTATATATAAAGAAATAGTGTTGGCTTTTTCGACGCTAAACTTAAAATAAATGTTGATGCTATATTTAAAGAATAGCGTCGACTTTTTTGACACTAAACCCAATTTAAATATAGTGTCGAAAAAGCCGACGCTATATCTTAAAATAACGTCAATTTTTCTGACAGCATACGTACTTTGAGAGAGATAAAGATAATTTTTTCAATTTTATATACGCATAATGTGTTGTAGTGAGGTTCACACATCGAGTCTCAAGAATGTTAAAAATACGAACAAATAAATGAGAAGTTGAAAAAAGAAGATAAAGAAAAAATAAAATAAATTTTGTGTCGACGTAGTATCGACTTAACTGACAATAAAAAATTAAAATAAATAAATTTTTTACCGACGGCTTAGCTAACACAAGAAAAAATTATGTTGATTTATTTAGCGTCAACTAAAAATCGACGAACGACTGATAATATTATGTCAGTTTTTATTATTTAAAGTCGACTTTTGGCCAACTTTAAAGTAAAACATTTTTGTATTGGGTACTCTTTTATCCTTTATCCTCTTTTTTAATGAATTTTTCTTTTGCTAAAAAAAAAATCGCACATGGGAAAGCTGAAGAACACTCGATGATTTATCTAACAATACACAAAAAAAAAATTGTTATATAATAACATATATACAGTGACACAATACGTATCATTAAAAATTACTTTTATCTATATAATAAATATAATATATATTAATATATTATTAAAAAATATGAGTATAAATTATAGTGACATACAAAATATGTTGTTAAATCTCATTCAAAATTAATATTAAAATTATGTGTTATTATATGTCAAATATATATATATAT